ATTCTGGGATGTGGGTCATAGAGGATCCTGCTGTGATTTATGTCGGAGAGTGTTTTGCCTATGTTCTCCTCTAGGAGTTTGATAGTTTCTGGTCTTACATTTAGATCTTTAATCCATTTTGAGTTTATTTTTGTGTATGGTCCACACCCCTTTCTATACAGCAGGCAGAGTGTTGTTTGAGGACAGATTCATTCAATCATTCATAGGAAGAAAATGAATTCAGGCCCTACTACATGCAAGTTGTGACCAAGACAGGCGGTGCCTAACCTCCTGGGACTCTATTAACAGCGCACAGAGGGGCTCTAAGACCGTGATGGCAGCTCTGCGCTCATTCCTTAGGAAGATGCTCCTGTTCCCAGCGCACGCGTGCGCACACGCACACACACACACACACACACACACACACCCCCACACACACACACACGCATCTGCCGTGATGGGCCATTTGCCATTCGTGGGGGCTGAGAAAACAGTGGGCAGAGTTTGAGACCGAGTGGAGGAGAGGCGGCGGACACTGCTGGGCACAGCCGGGCCCTGGCAGGCGGCGACTTGAACTGGGGGGTGTTCAGACGGTAGCGACCCCCACAAAGGCCCCTCCCTCTCCCAGAACCCCCGATGGTGTACGAAAAGCCAAGGGAGGCACTTTGGACTTTGCCTAAAAGTGGTGAGATGCCATAGGAAATCATTAAACCAAAAAGTAACATGGCCGGACTGTAAAATCTACAGGGCAAGGATTTTTATCTCGTTTGTTCACTAATGTGCCCCAAGCACCCAGAACAATACCACGCACAGCGCTGGCACTCCATTAATAATTGATGAATGAATTTCTATTATGTTGTACTGCCTTATTTTGCAATCATGTGCTTAATGTCTCTCCCTTACAAGATTCAGTCCTTGAAAACAACTGTGTCTTATGCACTTTTACATTACCAGAGACACTGTATTAGTGCCAGCGCAGAACACATTCATTCATTCGGCCAATAATTCCCTGCACCCAGTGATAGGGCAGGAGCAGAGCGTGGGAGTGGACACCAGAGGCCAAGTCCAGAGTGGGGCGAGCAGGGGCCATGTGAGAACTGCAATCAGCCAAGGAAGTCTGGGCAAGATGGAGCTGCAGAGATGGGCCAGGGCCATAGAGAGTGTGGGCTTTGTCCTAAGAACAGTGGGAAGTCACTAACATGGGTGATGAATCAGGAGAGCCATGTAGTCAGATTTAACAGAGACTACTTGGGCTCCGGAGTGGGAGAGGCAGGAAGAGTGGCAGTTTGAGATCCAGGAGTTAGGAGAGATGATACTGGCCTACGGTAAACCAGAGGCAGGACAAGAGGGAAAAATGGATGGATCTGAAAGATATTAAGGAGGCAGGCTCAGCCGGAATTAGTGACTAGTTAGACGTTAGGGTGAGGATGATGCAGTAGCCATGGATGAATCCCAGGTTTTAACCTGGACACCTCCAGTGGGATGCCTGCCTGGGTGGCTTTGGCATCAGCGATGCAAACTCAGCGAGTTGGAGCACACCTGAAAAATGTTTCTCAAATGCTGCTTTGATGGTATGGATAAATTTGTGGGCTTATACAGTTCAGAACACGGACTATTTATCTATGTTAGGAAGCACCCCAACTGATCACATACTTGCTTTTGAACCCACTAGTTTTCTATAAACCAGTGAACTTCCCAGACCTCACTAGTTGCCTTGTATACATTATGAAGATGTTTCAGTGAACTCACTGCAAGAAAATTAAAGCTCTGAAGCTTGTAACAAAACTCTGGTTGACTCTAGCAAAGAAGAAAAAGAGAACAAAACTATCAAACCATCAGACCAACCTGTACACCCATCTTCTCTTCTTCCCAGTGTAACCTGACTTGATAGAAGTGGGGATAATTTCATTTGAATGGAAAGCATACCCAAGCACATTTTTAGAAAAGCTAGAATTTTACCAAGTACTTTTTCTTATAGCTACACTGAAACAAATTCACCTCCCAGATAAAGAAGTTGGTTTTTGTGCTTTGGGTTTTTATGTTGCTATTTCCTTACCTTTACAGCAGACCTTTCAAACTTTTGTATATCTAAGCAAACCAGTTACTTAATGAGCAGCTCTAATTATTTTCTCAGAGTTTTAGTGTTCCATATAGCCAATGTCTTGGTTTAAGCCAAAGGGAATTTGTGGTTTCTGAGATCAGAAATTCAACTACTTTTTAAAATGCAAAACTGGTGATGAAATTAGGTATTTGTAGAACCAATCTTTGGCTCTAAGTGGTTCTTAGCTGCTTTACTGATACTTCCATTATTTTGTAGTAAAAGCATGTCAACAATAACAACCTGTATCTATAACAAAAGAAAAGAATAATGTTGGAACTTCTACTAGATATTCTGACAAGTCTTGCTTAAAAATATGTATCTTATTCCATTTTCCTCCAAAGAAAGAACAGAGAACATGGAAAAACCTTTTCTCCCATCTAGTGGCTGGAAACTATAAAAATGTCCTCCATGCCTGTCTTGGAATTCCAGGCATTAGGGATTGTCTGACATCGAGTTGTTCGCTCGGTTAAACAAAAATAAATTCTAAAATCTTTACCAAAGCTGAGCCCAATGGAGAAATATATGTCCATGATGATTCACTAACCGAATTCTCTTTAGTCAGTAACATAATTCTCATCAAGCAGAAAGGTGGTCATGGTCCCACCTTGTTAATCTGAACCTATAGTTTAAAAAAGGTAAGACTGCATGGTTCTGGTCACTGAAAAGGTGACGTGAATTATATTTGCCTCTAAAGCTGTCAGTGCCCTGGATCTCTCCTGACCCTTAATGGCTTGTAGTTGGCCCCACCTCTTGACAGCTCTTTTTCTCAAGAGCTGGATGTGCTGAATTCGCTAAAGAGAGCCAAGAAACTGTCCCTGAACCTGGCTGCCTCCAGGGGCCTCAGCTCCTGAGAGCCGGAATGCCAGGCTCCGCTCTGGCCGCAGGGCCTCGGGGCAGGGCTAGCCCGGCCGCAGGAAGGCAGGTTTGGATCCGCTCGCCGCTCAGGGGGTTAAGGCTTGGTCTGTCCTCTGTGCCTTGTACAGATACCAGAATCTCTGCTGAACGCTGCTTCTCTCTGGTGATTCTCACAGATTCAAAGAATGAATTTCGTGTGCAGTCAGCAAAGTTCTGAGAGATCCAGAAAGAAGAGGAAGGTCAGCGAACCAGTGAAAGTCTTCATCCCTGACAGAAAGTGAAACTTGGCTGCCTTTGCTACTTTTATTCTAAAATAAGTCCATTTTGCAACAAGTGTGCATGAAGTGTCTTAGTAGGAAAGTAAGTTTCTATCACCAAAACCCTTTACTAAATGTATTGCTCAACTTTCTGTGTCAATGCACTAAGTGCTGAATGACCAGGTAGGACATGGGTTCACTTGGCCACAAGGAAACGAGGTCACTAGGACTGCTTGGGGCCAGCATTGCTTTGAGGCGGAGTTAGAGATGAGACATCCTTTATAGCTGGAAAAGAACCACAGCAGCTCTTTGGAAGAGAAACAAGCTGTCCTTCTCAAGGGAAAGAGGGTTTTCTTTGCATAATTCAACTCCCCAGGTACTCAGACAACCGCAAAAGGTTTTAACTTGTTGTAACCTGTGTACTGGAATCCCTCTGCAGTTCATTAGAATTCCCACAGAATCACATAGCGTGTGTGTGGCTGTGCTGATCCAGGTGTGATTTCTGTGTTAACTTCAATCACAAGGTTAATCAGCTAAGTGTTGGACCAAAATGTAGTCTCCCTGTAGAGTTCCCCAAAGCCGGCCCTGCGCCGTCTTCTGCTAGCCGCCCAAGACGGGAACCGGCTGCAATGCAGGAGCCTGGTTCCCTTCCGAGAGCCCCTGTGGCACACTTCCCCCAACCCAGACTTCAGCTCATCAGTCTGTAACCTGCAGATGAGGCCCCCAGTCCTCCCGTCCTTCTGGAAGAATTCTAATAGACTTAATGATTAGCATCAGACGAATAATAAATGTCAGTGTTATGTGAATTATTTATATACCATAAAATTTAATAATTTAAATGGATAGGACCAACAAGTTAAATGTTGTAAGTGTGTGTGTTTTCTGGTTAAATAAAATCAAAACACAAGGTATTTTTTGGCTCGTCTAGTTTTCTTCATTCAGATCAGTGTAGTGAGGACATCAGGACCTGGAGTGCTTGTTAAACCGCAGACTACTAGGCCTGCCTCATTTCTATTCATCAGAACCCCAGGGGGTGGGCCCTCTGGAGAACTCCCTGGGTTCTAATGCACAGTAAAGACTCAGAACCCAGGGCAGACCTCTGATCTGGGCTGAGAGGAGACTCCCAGGGGCCAGACATGCACTCAAGCCAGCAGCAGCCTGTGGTCGTCACACTCCCCTTCAGGAGGCTCTCCAACTTCCGATTGCCCACAGGCAGCCCCCCAGCTGGGGTCCTGAGCTGGGCTGTAGCCCCAGGCCTGCCAGGGACGAGCTAGTTCCCTTTCCCCAGCACGTGGCGTGTCCTCCCGTGAGCTCGCCCTGCCGCCGAGAGGAGCAGGAGGGGGAAGGTACGGGCTCATTTTATCCTTGAGAGAACGGAGCCTGAGTCAGCAGAGCTTCTTCTGAGAGAACCCTATGAAGAGATTAGCTGTCTAGTGGAGGGATTAGGCTTGTTTTGTGTCTCTCAGAGCACAGAGCTCAGAGCAGACTGGCGAAAGCTATAGGAGGTCACCCATGCTCCGTGTCTGGAGGAACTTACTCCACAGGGTGTCAGAAATCTGACAGGGCGAACCCTGTGAGGCAGTGAGCCTGCCTCGGAGCCTCAGGTGTCTGAACACCAAGCAGCTTCCTCAATACCCCAGGAGGCTCTGACTCTCAGCCCGAGAGTTATAGGCAGTAATTAGTCAATCTGGATTTCAGAGAGAACCGTTTTGTTTAAAAGAGGAATTTAGCTCTCAGTCTATAATTTTCATAAATTTAGCCTAAGGTGGGAGATCCTTTAAGTCAAAGTCTAGAGTCTGAATCTGTCTAGATGGTCTTTTAGTGCTTTTATTGTCTCTGTTAACACCCCTCTCCTCCCGCAATGGATGCCAACAGGCGGGATGTGTGTGTCTGATGGAGAGAGACAGAGAGAGTGTGTGTGTGTTTCTGTGTGTATGTGTCTCAGCAGCAGAGAGAAGGTGCTGGACCCGTGCCCTGGCTGGGCACATCAAGAAGGAGACGCGTTGTCAAGAGGATCCGAGAACCATGAAAACATGAACTCGCTGATTTGACACAGCAGAGCTCAGAAGTTCAGCCAGCTATCAACATGGGAGGGTGTTCAGTTCTATTTACTGGATGATTTATTGGGATGCGGAGAGAAAAAAAAACAATCCTTTTTCTAGCCTATTCATTTCTGTCCTTAATAATAACCGAATGAATAACCACAAGTTCATTAAGAAGCTAGAAGTTCAGTGAAAAGAAGGACAACTCAGACCCCAGCTGGGGAGCCTAAACCACAGTGCTCTAGCCATTCCCCCACCCCAGCAGCGCCGGCGCCCGCAAAGATCTGCTGCAGGTCGCCTGGAAACTGGGATGTCGTTAAACTGAAATCTATGCAGGGGAAATTTGACTTGGGCTGCCTGCGGTTTTTCTGTCTTTACAGAAAATTGGTCTAGCTGGAAAGAGGGTTGGTGCAGCTCATGACTGCCACCAGCCTTTGAAGCCAGGCACCGAAACCACACCTTCATTTCCCTTCTCGAAGGTCCCTCTGGTGTCAGGGTCCTTTCATTCTCCAGCTCACCTCTACCAGGAAGAGACTGGGAAGATTCACCAGTGTCAGAGTGACACTCACACAAGTTCAAAGTGGCGCACGTTTTGCTCTTTTCATTCACGTTTAACGGGAGGATAATTCCTTTGCAGTGTTGCGTTGGTTTCTCCCGCACATCAGCATGAATCAGCCGCAGGTGCACATGCGTCCCTCCCTCTCGAACCTCCTTCCCACCCCACCCCACCCCTCGAGCTTGCCGAGAGCACCAGGTTGAGCTGCTTCTGTCCCTGCTGTGTCCGTAAGTCTGTTCTCTATGCCTGAATCTCTATTCCTGCCCTGCAAATAGGTTTATCAGTACCGTTTTTCTAGATTCCACATAAATGTGTTAATATACATTTAAAAAAAAATAACACTATTAGAGCCAGTTCTCAGGGTGTCTTAACATTGTCAGTTCACGGTTTCAAACCCAGTAGTACTGGATCTTTAGAGATTCCCAGTAAGTTTCTGGACTTATAGTGAAAATAATTCTCAGTGGCGATCATTCTCAATCAGAAAGAAGACCCAGATGATAAAATGAGACCCGCACTGTACAAGGCACTGAGCACCCCTCCCATGGCATGAGTCTGAGGTTCTATACAAATGAGATGCCTCTGTTTGCTCCAAATGTATCCTCTTCAGAAATTATCAGCGCATATATATATATGTATTTTTAAAAGAATATTTTCAGTGTGGTTGTGTGTTCGTGCAATGAGGCCCTGGCTGAGACTTGCTATGTTAGTTTGCAGTCTCCGTTAGGATGAGGGCCTTAATTAGTGGGCTCTTTGGTTAGGCAATGGTAAAGCCAAAACCCTACACAGAAATGGAAAGACCTGAGGCGCTAATCGACTCACATCACTTCCCCTGGGTGGCTGTATCTCTGCAAACAGGGGGTGTCAAAGTCGTCGAGACTGACTCTTGGAGGTGGCAGACTCACGCTCACCAGTAACCGACTGTAGGAGAGGCAGAGGGTCTACTGACCTCTACAACCCAGCCGGAAGTTGGACATGAGATCTGCTCAATAGGACCCCCCTGGGGACAAGCCTCCCTAAACACTTTCATCCGGTCCTAACTGTGCCATGAGGTTCAGCTGTAAAAGGTTTCCCCGAGACAGGAGTGGTGAGGCAGGCAGATCCAGAGAGCCAGAAACAGCCGGGACAGACCGCTGGGGCAGAAAGCTGGTCTAAGAGCGAGGTTCCTCCCTGGGTACCGCAGGACTGCTGAAGGCTGGAGAAGTCTGGGGCATCTGGGTTCCGTCTGAATAATTATTGATCAGCTCCAGGGTAAGCAGGCAAATTTAGGTTTTCATCTTTCTTTGAGCAAGGTTGTTAAGGTAAAGGCTAGGGTATGGCTGCTGAACCTGGCTGGCATTTCTTAGGCTATTTCCCGGCTCCTGCTCGGGTTACTCAGGATAACAGTACTTCAGGCGCCTACCTACTCACACCCTTGTGAGGATTAGGCCAGGCAACTCAAGCTAAGTGCCCAGCATGTATACAGCTGGTGCTCAACAGGCGTTTGTCGCTTGTCCTATTTTTCGCTCTTGGCCTGTTCTGTTCCTTCATGTCAGGAGTTCAGGGTCCCAGCGCTGCTCTTTGCCTGCCCCCGAGATCCTGCATCGACACCCGCTCCACGCTCCCGACTGTTTCTCCCCTCTCCTTTCCCAAATCCAGACTCTCTTCGCCTCAAGACAGTCTGATGGGAGCGACGCTTCAGATGAAGCTCAGTGGGCTGCCCTCCCCACATCTGCATTTTAAAATGGAAGCGTGTTTGTAAGAAAAGCGAATCTCATGTTGGGAATGCGAAACGAGGGGAGACTGAGGAAACAGGGGAGAAGAATGTCTAAGGAGAACTTCACAGCTGTCTGCAAACTGCGAGGCCAAGTCAGATGAGGGAAGCACAGACCCAGTCTGGGTTGTTCCAAAGACAGAACACAGATCCAGTAGGAAGAGGCTGCAGGGAGGCAGGTTTGGGCTCCACAGCTGGAGGACTTTCTCCTTCATGCCCTAGAACGGTGCCTGGCACAAGGATGTAATGTTTCCATTATTAAAACTGTCAGCCCATGACTGTTTCTGGCTGTAACGAGTTCCCCATCACTAGAAGTGTTCGGGTTGAGTTGACCAGGAAGTTGCTCTTTGGATAAGAATCAAATCAAATGAGGGGGCTTCCCTAGTGCTACAATGGCTAAGACTCTGTGCTCCCAATGCAGGGGCCCCTGGTCAGGAAACTAGATCCCACATGCTGCAACTAAAGGTCCCACACAATGAAGACTGAAGATCCCACATGCCACAACTATGGCCTGGTGCAGCCAAATAAATAAAAATAATTTTTTTTAAAAAAAGAAGAATCAAGTAAACAGAATATTGAGGGCTCTCCTAGCTGTAAAGTTCTATGACATTGTTATTAAAGGTAGAATTTCAACAGAGATGGAGCAAGGAACATTTTCTAAGTCCTTTTCCCAAAAGACAGTATGTTGAAGTGGTTAAAGCTGAGGGTTCTGCTGCCATACGACCCAGCAATCCCATTGCTGGGCATACACACNGTTCTACTTCTGAGCCGTGTGACTCTGGGCAAGCCGGCTGCTCTCTCTGCACTTCAATTTCCCCCATGTGTAAAAGTGGGGGCCATGATAGGGTCTCCCTTTGGAGTTACTGTGAAAACTGAGTGAACTGATTCAAGTGAAGCACTTAGAAGAATGCCTGGCACAAAGAGAGTTCACGCTTCAGACACATTTGGGATGAGGTATTATCCGACACCCTTGCCACGGTGCAGCTTTCTGCGTCTTTTCAGTATGTGGAAGGAAGTCCCTTATACCATAATTGCCCCTGACCTTGTGTTTTCCCTAAATCACAGGCCAGCCCCGGCCACTGTAATTAACCCGGGCCCTTTGCATCTCCTGTCAGCAAGCTTTCAGGCTGAACGAGCACGCAGGGCCCCTGACGCACCGTTTGTGAAGGATCGCGCGGCAGAGACACAGCCCTGGACACCTTAACCCTGCTGCCTGCCTGGCAAGTGGTGGGTGCCCGGTAAATATTTGTTGAACGAACTGACGAACTCGGCAGGGTTCTTGTCATTGCCTACGTTTTATTTATTTATTTTTTTGATTAGGTAATTCATTCACGGGATTGAACATTCGAAAGGAACAAAAGGCTATAGAACGAGACACATCCCTCCCGGCCCGTCCCGAGGTCCCCTCCCCACCGGTGACTAAGATAACCACTTTCTCATATGTCTTTCTAGAGCTATTTTAGGGCCTAAACAGGTAAACCTACTAGCATATGCACGTCTGTTTCTTACCCTCCTTTTTAAACAAACGGCCACATACGCGTTCCAGGTGTATTTATTGACACGGTCACGGAAGTGAGGGTGAACATGCGCACACAAAGAGGCATTAGAGGAGAAATCGCTCAGAGACACAAAATCAACCAGGCAAGCGCTGCATTAACCCGACGTCAAGAGGTTACACGGCCTGGGCTGGTATACGGAAGGGGGTGATCAGGGAAAGAATGCTCCGAGTTATTTTTTTTTAAGTTTACACCAGGGTAACGGCCGCCACAATCAAGATACAGAGCATTTCTGTCACCCCCAGAAGTTCCTTCACGTCCCTTTGTGGCTGGGCCCCACCCTGGACCCACACACCCATCCTCTGCTCTGTCAGAGGTTTTCGGCTTCTGTCTCAGGCCCGCGTGCGGCAGGGCGCCCTCCCCTCGGCAGAGCTAATCGCGGTATTAGTCAGGATCGCTGGGGCTTGCTCTGGGCTGGGCGTTCTGCTGAGCACCCGCCCACTCGTGCTCATTCATTTAATCCCCCCACAACCAAAGGAGGCAGGTCCTGCTGTCAGCTCGATTTCAGACGAGATGTCTAAGACACAGAGAAACGAAACCACTTGCCCAAGGTCACACAGGTTTTGTTGTTCAGTCTCGTGGCCCACTCTGCACCCACATGGACTACAGACGCCAGGCTTCCCTGTCCTTCACGATCTCCTAGAGTGTGCTCAAACTCATGTCCATTGAGTCGATGATGCTATCCAACCATCTCAGCCTCAGTTGCCCGCTTCACCTCCTGCCCTCAATCTTCCCCAGCATCAGGGTCTTTTCTGAACCCAAAGCAATGTGAAAATAATCATGAAAATACTCAGACTCCAGCAGAAAGACTTCATTACTATTTTTTTTAATATTTATGTATTTGGCTGCTCCAGGTCTTAGCTGCAGCATGTGGGATCTAGTTCCCTGACCAGGAGATCAAACCTGGGGCCTGCTGTGTTGGGAGCACGGAGTCTTAGCCACCGGACCACCAGGGAAGTCCCAAAAAAGATTTCATTACTATTTAACAAGATCAAGGCGGGCGGGGTTGGGGGGACTCCTGAATTTTATGTTACTCTAGGATGGATTTGTCCAGCAGCCTCAAGTGTACTTTAAGTGGCTCATGGCTTTCTTCACAGGCATCAGTCAGTCCGCAGGCAGTGTGCACATTCACCACGCCTCTCTCTTCTAAGAAATTACAGCATTGAGAACTCTCTCTTAATGTTAAAGAGCTGGTGTGGTCAGGGTATTACTGAGAAGACAACTATCTCTGACTATCTACAGGTCCAAGAACACGCATGTCATTCTGAAACCACAAGGAATGTGGTTAAGTCCCCCGGTCACATCTCTCAACAAAGATTGATCTGTTTCACTGTTGCCTCCAAGGGCTTTTCTCCTGGACTAAGATATTAATTCATAATGATGTCTGCTAATGGGCCTTCCCTAGAGAGGAGCCTATTAAAGGAATTAATTACACTGCAGGTTCAGAAACTTCCTGGCACATAATGAAATGGCTCCCCAGCTGAAACAGTCTGAGAAAGAAACCACCGATCTCAATCCTGAGACCAGTTCCTATAAAGGGAGAGGCAAGTTTGCTCAGATAACTGCAGATTCTGGGAGAAACAGGACAGTGAAAATGTTAACAATGAAACCAATGTTCACTCACTGATGTAAGTGTGCTAAGCTGCTTCAATCGTGTCCAATTCTTTGTGACCATATGGACTATGGCTCGCCAGTTTCCTCTGTCCTTGGGATTCTCCAGGCAAGAATACTGGAGTAGGTAACCATTCCCTCCTCTAGGAGATCTTCCCAAACCAGGGATCGAACCGGAGTCTCACGTCTCCTGCATTGGCAGGCAAGTTCTTTACCACTAGTGTCACCTGAGAAGCCTTCACTCACTGATGGGGTTTCATTAAATATAGATCATATTTTTCTAAAAATTTCTAGTTCTTTATTACCTCCTCTTATTTGAGACCTGTGTTTGCCACTTATGAATGTTGCCTATTAACCTTACAATGCAATTTTAATGTGTTTTCTTTTTAACAGGAAAATAGTTCTTGGGACTCCTCTGGTGGTTCAGTGGCTAGGGTTCCCCACTCCCAATTCAGGGGACTCAGGTTCAATCCCTGGTCAGGGAACTAGATCCCACATGCTGTGAGTAAGACCCGGCATAGCCCAATAACTAAAAATAAATATTTTTTAAAAACTCAGTTTTCTCCACTTAACATAGAATAAGTGATAGTGGACCTAGGATTGGGAGAATGGATACATGCATATGTACGGCTGAGTCCCTTTGCTGCCCACCTGAAACTATCACAACACTGATATTCAGCTATGCTCCAATGCCAAATAAAAAGTTTAATAAAAAAAGAGAGAGAGAGATGAGAGACTTAGGATGGATTATGTTTCATTCAAACTCATGAGAAAGTGGTAAAATTACCCTCTCTGGAAGTCTAGATTGGTTTCAATGCAGCCTAAAGCCTGGGGAGTAGATTAGATGACTTTCTGGTCTCTCATTCCTCTGTATGGCCTGTGTCACACAGTCCAAATCTCCAGAAATGGCAACAGCAGAAGAAAGAGATAACGGCAGATTAACTATAGCGCCACGTACTGATAAGCCACCAATTTGTTGGTTTCTAGGTAAACTGAGGGAGGGGGACAGGGAAGCATGATGTGCAGAATTGACTAGAGATCCTGTCAAAGTCGGTTTTAATCGTAATCTTGGTTCTCCCTTTATTTCTGGACAAGGCCTTTATTTCCTCTCTTTTTATGTTCCATTCGCAGCAAAAAGCAGACAGCGACCACCTAGGGTTTTGAACCACCAAGAGGTAGCAGCCAGGGGTGGTGACCGTCCACTCTAAACACAGCCTGGTGCCTGATGGAATTCCTCAGTCTGGGCTCTGGGGTAGTTTGCGGGGAGGGGAGGCGAGCTCTCTCGGGAGCCCAGCCCGAAGGATTGTGGGCATCAGGAGAAGAGGGTGGCAGAGGATGAGATGGTTGGATGGCATCATCTACTCAATGGACATGAGTCTGAGCAAACTCCAGGAGACAGTGAGGGACAGAGAAGCCTGGTGCGCTGCTGTCCATGGGGTCGCAAAGAGTCAGACACGACTTAGTGACTGCACAACAACTAGAGAAAGCCTGATCCTCACGAGTCAGAAGGGACCACACCAGTCCTCTGGCCCCTCCTAGTAAGAGACTGAGGTTACTGTTGAGCAAAAGTGAGATTTATCTGAACCCAGTCTATGGTCAGCTGTAACATGGGCTTTACTTGGAATGAACTCAACCATAACGATGAAGCCCAGGGGAAAGGGTTTTTTTTTTTTAATTATTATTATGAATGAAACTCATTTACAGTTACAACACAGAGAATTGTCATTTGCATGCTTTAAACTCTTTAGCAGATAATGGTTACACACTGTGTTAAGTGACTTTGAAAAGTTACAAGATGATTAAACACTGTCTGGCAATTGCTTGGATTTTTAAGTGTTTCTTAGAATGGGCAAGCTACATAAAACCTAACCAAGTTCCAGCTAAAAGTCTAACAGTTCTGATGGAAACTGTTAAAACAATTCTGCAAAAAATGACAAACAGCTTCAAACTGCCAGGTATCAGTATTATTGTAATATTCCCTTTATCAAAAACCTATAACTGAAATTTATAGGTAAGAATTTACAGTAAGCAGCAGGTACTTGGAAACTTGTCAGTTAAGATTTCCCATTAGAGAAGAGATTCTGCTGTAAGCTTTTTAACTGTCTAATGTCAGAGGGAAAAAAAAAACAACTTTCACAATTAGTTTCTAAGGAAATTATATAAAAGTCATAATAACTAACAGGAAAAGTTTTAAATTGTCATTTCCAATAGGACACAACCTCCTCAAGAAAACACAACCTGATGGGTTTGGTTTTTTTTTTAGAAGACTGTATATAAATAAAAATCAAAATCTATATTCTTTATATATTTCTAAAGAAAATAGTTAACAAAATCACCTTAAAGTGACTTCATTTCCTGCTGCTCCCCCAACCTCCTCAAAACTGAGAATATAACAAATATTTGCATAGGTTTATTATTCACATTTAATCATGAATAATTCACTTTGTACAGACAGCTGGGTAAACAAGCATTTTGGAGTTTCCTTTTTCTAGAATATTTTCCCCTTGGCTGAAAGGAAGCAGCTTCAGTGTGGTTTTACATGGTTTTCAGTGCCATCCTGTCCCCATCCTCCGAGCAGGAGGATTCCCGTTTCATGCATTTTCTTTTTTTTTTCTCCTTTCTTTCTGTCAATTCTTAGGCTACAGTTCACAAACATACACACACATATATTATTATTAATTATTATTATTACGAAATGAAAAATGCGCTCCACCACCCAAGTCCGTGGTCTTCCTGTCCCCATCCTCCGAGCAGGAGGATTCCCGTTTCATGCATTTTCTTTTTTTTTCTCCTTTCTTTCTGTCAATTCTTAGGCTACAGTTCACAAACATACACACACATATATTATTATTAATTATTATTATTATGAAATGAAAAATGCGCTCCACCACCCAAGTCCGTGGTCTGCAAAACAAGGGAATGGTCACAGATGTACTTTTGGGTGGATCCTCTTCTGAGTGCTGGGAAAAGATCTCCCGAGCTCATTCTGCCTCTTCATTAGCTCCTTCACCTTCTCCTATCAGTTCATGACCAGTTTCACAATTACTTGACTACCTGCCACAAAGCCGGCTCCCATTTCGCTCTGTTCCTCCCAGGCTACGTGAGGAAGTGGCGCACGTAGCCCTGCACACAGGCTGGCCCCGGGCATTTCAATCTGGGCGAGGGGGCGCCGTTTACCGAAGGTCAAGGCTCCTTCCAGCTCTGCAGACGTCACCAGCCGGACCGTGATACTATAACCTGCGGTTGGGGAGACAATTAGGCTTGCCGTCACTCGGCTCTGACCAAACGGGCGGCTGCGCTGGGAGGGGGCGGAGGTCACAGTATACCCCTGGGAAATCCCTGCTCTTTGTCACGACCCGGCAAAGAGCTTTGAGAATTTTAGCCACCCAGCCAGTGCCACGTGTCCGCCCTACCTGCGTTAGTTGAGGGCAGACACGGGCCTAGGGATACATGTACCCTCTCTTCAGCAGTCCGTGTCATAAAGCATGCACGCCATGGCCGAGAGCATTCCGGAGAACATCAGCCACGATTCGATAAATCAGAAAAACGGTACTGATGAAAACACTGAAGCACCGACTTGCAGGGCAGCGATGGAGACGCAGACATAGAGAACAGATGGGGGGGCGGAGACAGTGGGCCGCCTTGGGAGGGTATACACACACAGTAGCACGTGTGAAACAGACGGCCAGCCGGAAGCTGCTCTGCAACGCGGGGAGCTCAGCCCGATGCTCTGTGATGACCCAGGAGCGGACGGTGGGCTGGGAGGGAGACTCAGGAGGGAGCGGGTCCATGCATACATTACGGCGGATTCACGCCGCTGCCCGGCAGAGGCTAACGCAACACTGTAAAGCGGTTATACGCCAATTAAAATTTAAAAGAAAGTAAAAATTATTTTCTTCATCGAACATGCTAGACACGTTCTAAGCACTTTACACACATAAACTCTTTAATTCCTATAACCACCTTATATAATAGGTACAATCCTTACCCCCACTTTACAGATGAGGAAAATGAGGCACAGAGAAATCAAGTAATTCGCTGACCGTCACCACAGGAAGTGGGAAGGCCAGGACTCAAACCAGACAGTCTGGCTCCAAAGTCTGTGCTTTCACTCACCATGCTCTGCTGTGGGTATAAATCCCAGCTTACTGTAAAGAGTTTAGAAAGATAAGAAAAACATGAAGAAGAGAACAATTACTCCTAGTCTCACCAATTTTAGACTATTTCCTGTGTGTGTGTGTGTGTGTACAAAAGCATTTAACTTAGTGGAATTTCTCATCAACTCCCCTCTTACAATTTTCTGTATCTTATGAATATTTTCTCCCATGGAAAGATATTAATTTGATTGAACATTCAATTTCCTGGGTCTACTTTGTAAATACCCACCCAGTCAACTTTGGAAGCACTTATGATTGGAGGTGAGTGGGGGGCAGGGAGCTACCCACTGCCACTAGTGGTAAAGAATCCATCTGCCAAGGCAGGAGATGCAAGAGAAGAGGGTTTGATCCCTGGGTCAGGAAGATCGCCTGGAGAAGGAAATGGCAACCCACTCCAGTATCCTTGCCTGGAAAATTCTATGGACAGAGGAGCCTGGCGGGCTACAGTCCAGGGAGTCGCAAAGAGACGGACAAGACTGAGCAATGAATGGAGTGCACCCACACATATGACTAGGGGAGGGGGAGGTCGGGGGCAGCTGGTTTAGAAGAGGCCTTGTTTCCCCAAACCAAAAGAACTTCTCTGAAAATGGACTCAGCGTGGTTTAAGTGACCTGAAAAAAAAAAAAAAGTGTTGTGTCTGGAAACATAGCGTGACTTTCCCCTTCAAAGCGATTCGTGTTGTGTCCACTTCACATTGTTCAGTTTCCTCCGGGGCGGGGCAGGGGGAGAGAGCCTGGGTGCACAGAAAAATGTAGGCTAGTCAACAGGAAACCCGAAGTCCCCAATACAGCACAGCAGCCTCTGATCACAGCCCGACCTGGCTGCTTTCTCTTTTCTTTGACAGGTGTTGCAAAAATAATAATAAATGCTCCAAAGAACCATTTGCCTGGTAAACAGAACTGTTATTAAAAACTGGCATCATATACCAAGACACTGAAGAGCAGCCTCGGAAGCCAAGGCGGTCGTGGTCACTCCTGGGACACGGTGCCAGCGTTTGGCCAAGTCACGTGCCAGCCCGTCAACAGCCAGAGAAGTAAACAGCTCAGCGATGGGGCTGACCTAACCTCAAAACCTCTCGGGAGCACACGGAAACTGGCTTGAAAAGACCGTTTCTCTTTTTCCCCCTCCTTGTTAATTGAATTTCTAGCTCTAATTACAACGGCAGAAACAGAAAACAATATTCTAAAGGGGAAGTCAAAGAATGACCCGTTTCTGAAAAAGCCGAGTCATGGAGTCGTCAGGAACACACGGGCACCCACCCTCACTCTTCCCCTGAGCTGACTTACCCACCTACAGATGAGGCCGCTGAGAGCGGGGGGCGGGCCCAGGATTTTCAGAGGGCCCTCGCTGGGAATTACTCTTGCGTGCACATAAATTTCCCCAATAAGCACCTTCTGGAGTTTGCATACAAAGGAGTTAAACACTTCGGAGCTTCCTGTCCAATGTTCTAACTTGAGTTGTGCAACCAGAAAATCAGGTAAGCATCTCGACGGCTAGGTCAAACTTGACTTTTTCTGGAAACTAGATCTCCCCAACTTGGGCTCCTAAATCCACTGCCCTGTCTTTCTTTTAAAAGATATTTTACCCATAGTCATTGGTCCCAGATCCGCCTGGAGCTAACGAGGCAGGAGCTGTCTGAAATGTAAGGTGCAATACCAAGCAGCCAAAGGGAGAAAATGAAATTTTTCTTTGACCTTAAAATTCAGGTCAGATCTGTTTCCTCTTCCTTTCCGTTGCAAGTGTTTTGAAAACTAGTTCTACTTCTCTCGGTCTGAGTCTTCCCATCCCAGGGGAATGACAAGGCACTGGGACAGGAAACTAACCAACTCTTCTAACCATCAGCCTGGGAAGGATGGAGGGTTCCCACTTCTCCCAGATTCCATAGAGCCTCCTTCAGGAAGGGGTTGATCTGGGAGAAGTGAGAGGTGAGGACCAGACTAACAACCTGTCCCTGGAGAGGACCTGGGCAGATAAAATAACCAAACCACAGCTCAGGACCACATAGAACGTGCCTTCTCATAGGATTTACAGAGTACCTCTAACACACACTGGTTCTTCGAACTTCCGTCAACTATCTCGAGGTGGGGAACGACATCGCCTGCAGCCTGGAGAGGTTGTGTTGGCTGGCCTGGATCACAGCACTCACCGACGACCTGGGTGTGGGGGCTGTGGGGCCTGCACTGGCCTTGCTCCCGCCACCCTCTGTCTGCTTGGTCAGATGGACCCCCATCATGGACCACCACTTGGGCCATCAACTTAGGCCTTTTCTCCCATGATTAAACCCACTCACTCTGAGTCTCATCTCTCCAAGTCCCATGAAGGGGGCAACTTGTGCTAAGAGACTATAACGTCTTAATACCCCACTGGGAGGTTGGGACTGACAAATATACCCTACCATGTGTAAAACAGGTAGCTAGCGAGAAGCATCTATATGCGCAGGGAGCTCAGCTCGGTACTCTGTGATGACCTAGAGGGGTGGGGTGGTCCAAGAGGGGTGGGAAACATGTACACATGTGGCTGATGCACTTTGCTGTATAGCAGAGACTAATACAGCATTGCAAGGCAACTATATCCCAACTAAAAAGAAACATTCTGATGCCCCAAACCCATGCTGGCTGTGTGCGCTCAGACCAGCAACTCAGCGGGCACCCCCCTCCCCCCGGATGTCACCTGCAAAATGGAGATACTAGTTCTTTACAACTGAGGATCGAGTGAAATCATGAGTCAAGGGAACTCCTTCTCTTTCCCTCAACCCATCTTTCCCTCTTAAAGCGAATCTCAGAGCACCGCCCTCTCTCACCCAGATCACTGTAGGCGTCCTCTGACCCGTCTCTCCGCTTCCAGACAAGGCCCCACCATGCATTCTCCACCCTGGCTGAGGCAATCCTGCCAGAGAATAAAAATGAACAGATTCACCCTTCCAAAAACCCCCAGCGGCACCCCAGGGCCTGAGAGTCAAGTCCAGGCCCCCAGCTCGGCCCAGGCGCCCGCAGCCTTGGCCTGTGTCCCCTCGCCAGCATCCCGTGCTCAGCGCCCAGCGGGTACCACGTGCTCCTCTGCCCCCAGGGCTCTGAGCAGGCTGTTGGCCTACGACACTCACCCCGTGGCCTCTCTCATTCCGAACCCTTTTTTAGTTTAAGCATCATTTCCTCGAGGAAGTCTCCCTGAGTGGACTCTGATGCCTCCCCTCTCGTCCTGTCTGGCTCCCCATTCTGGCATCTAGAACACACTGTCGCCGCCTGGCTGCTCACCCCTTGCTTGCTTGTAGCTGTCTGGGGGGCCCCCAGCCCTCCTCCTGACCCAGAACAAACAAGAGAGCAGTGAATATTCATCCTGGAAACTTTCCTGAAGCATTCGATTTCTTTTAAAAGTATTCTACTCTTTCTTGAAAATATTTGCATTTCAAAATGCCCACCCTTTCCTTTGAACGCCCTCAGCCTTTAATGCCTTATGCCACATAAAAGAGTAACTTTGGAATATTAAGTCTAATCAGTGAATACAGTACTTTTATTCTAAAGGGAGGGGGGCCTCATATAATAACAATATCATAAGGTAAATTAGGATTAATATTTCTACGGCATGAGCTTCATAGAAGTGGCGCAGTGGTAAAGAATCTGCCTGCTGATGCAGGAGATGCAGGAGACGCAGGTTCAATCCCTGGGTCAGGAAGATCCCCTGAAGTAGGAAATGGCAGCCCACTCCAGTGTTCTTGCCTGGAAAATCCCACGGACAGAAAAGCCTGGCAGGCTACAGTCCATGGGGTCGCAAAGAGTCAGATACAACTGAGTGACTGAGTACGCACTTCTATGGCATATTCATACAAATATCTCAATTTATTCTTTAAAAACTCCTGTGGATTGGATTCATCTGTTACAGGATATTTTAGTTATCATTCTGCAACTGCAAGTGGCAGGAACCATCCTCAGTTTGCTTAAGCAAAAAAGAAAAAAAAAGAAAGAAAAAGGGAAAAAAGGAGGAGAGTTTGTTTTATTTGTGCAGGGGTGGAACCCCGGCTTACAGACAGAGCTTGGGAAGGAATTCTCAGGCTCCACTCCCAGAGACCAGATGCAAGGAGTCAGAGATCTTCCCAGGAAGCCCAGCCAGTTCTGACACAGGCGCTCCTCCAACAGCCTTTCGCAGGAGTCGCTGGGCCCGGTCACTAGCTGCAGGACCGGAACGGAGACCCAGGTCACGGCTTTCCCCACCACACGCCACTTCAACTCTTCATTTGTTAAAAATAACAAACCTCACTACTTAAAAAAAGACAGAATCAAATGACAATGAAGGGCTAAACAAAATGTGGTCTATACATGCAGCGCAGTACAGCAGGGACAAACGTTAAGGACACTGTGCTAAGTGAAATACGTCAATCACAAAAGGATGCACGCTGTATGATTCCATTCATACGAGGCATTCAGGGCTGTAAAAACCATAGAGGCAGAAAGTAATTAGAGGCAGATGGTAATTTTCAGGGGCTGCGGGAGAGAGGATGGAAGTCATTGCTTACTGGGTATGCTTTCAGCTGGGGAAGAAGAGAAAGTTCTGGAGATGGGAGCTGGTGTTGGCCATGTGACAGCTGTGAATGTACTTACTGCCACAGAACCGTATTCTCAAAAACGGTCAAGAGAGTAAAATTTTAGGTTCTGTATAATTTTGCCACAATTAAAAATAAAAAAGGAATCAAAATTTTCTCTGTCCTGCAAGCAGATTTCACTTTGGGGTCAGCCCAAAAGTTCATTCTCATTTTTCTGTAAGACATTACATTTTGTGGACGGGAAGACACACATTGACAAGTCAGCTGGCTTCGGGGCCAACAGGAGGAAAGGCCAGACTCATAGAAGGCTGTTCGTTAGAACGATGATCCACACAGCTTCCTGAATGTATATGCTATCGCAGAAAGCCTTATCAGTTCAGTAATTCCAGTTAATCTACCAAGACAATGTGATCACCTTTCATTCTGTATGACATGCAACAGCATTCTCCTATTTTGGTGTCAGGCTTTCAATAAAGTTTTGATTAAGGGCAAAAAAAAAAATCAGCTGACTCCTGGATATAGGTTCTGGATGTGAAGGCCACCCAACTGCTTTAACTGTGCCTTCAGCTACTACCCTCAGAGCGGTGCCCTCTCACGCTGCTGACTCTGGATGCTGCCATGAAGCTCTGTGCTGGCACCAGCTCTCGCCTCAGCCTAACACCTGCTCAGGGGGCAGTAACGGTCCTGGGGTCCTGAAGGCTCACAAGGATCTTGTGAAACAAGGGAGGGAAAAGTGGAGGCTGGAAAGAAACTCCAGAAATGGTGACAGTGGTCTTGAACTCACATGAAGTGATAAGCCAGGGAAAAGCATCAAGATGGGAAACTAAGTGGGTCCTTTTGTTGAGAACTGCTGTGGCACTGCAGTGTCCTAGGAATATGGACGAAGATGGTGAAGCCAGGAGTGAAGATCCCTGAACATGGGCTTCCTCCTGATCTCGGAATGTCCAATCACAGAGAAGTTGTAAGAAAGGCCAGGGCTTCCTTGATGGCTCAGCGGTAAAAGAATCTGCCCGGCTCTGCAGGAGACACAGGTTCGATCCCTGGTTGGGGAAGATCCCACATGCTGTGGAGCAACTAAGCCCATGAGTCACAGCTCATGAGCCCGCACGCCTGGGGCCCGGGAGCCCCAACTCCTGAGCCCACGCGCCCCAGAGCCCATGCTCTGCAACGAGAAGTCACCGCAAGGAAAAGCCTGTGCACCACAACTACAGAAAAGCCCATGCAGCAGTGAAGACCCAACACAGCTAAAATAAATAAATGAAATTTTTTTAAGGGAGGGTGGGTGGGCAAAGCTGGATATCCACATAAGTCCTTGTTGATAGCTGGGAACCCAAATTCCATTCTTAGTGGAAAAAAGGGATGTAAATTGCCTTGAGCAAGAAAAGAGAGCGAGGTAGGAGGGGGAAAGAGGGGAGAGGTCGGGGCTGACCCTGGGGTGAGTCTTCTCTCTCTGCCGGGAGTTCACATGGTGGTCGTAAGCCTTGGGCAATTTCCCAAATATTTGGGGAAGTTACTCATGAAGGAGAAGCCACCTCCAGACAGCCGGTTGGGAAATGTGGAGTCAGTGCCTGGGTGGTTTTCATACTAATCCCAGATTTATTAAGGTCAGAAAGCAAGCAGCAGAAAGGGTTTGATAATCAGAATCCTCATTTCGATAGAAAGGAAAATTTTTCTCTGGTCTGAGGGAGTTAGCTGTCTCAAGGGGCTGGGACAAGGGAGGGCTCCTTTTGTGACTGGCGGGGCAGGATTGCTCCCTTCTAAGCCCCCTCCCCTGAAGGGTACAAGGTGTTCCACTGCAGTTGAGAGGGAGTGGACTCAAAGATCTAAAACATCTAACTCCCCCTCATCCC